AAATTGATGACTCTTTTGTTGACAACTTTTCACACCTGTCATGTAGATCTTACCTCGTGCCAATGAATGACGTTTTGTTGTGTTTTGTTTTGTCGAAGCATTGACCAACAAGAGGCTCCAACGTAACAAGTTCCATAGAAGAACAATACACTTCCAAGTAGAGTCTGTTGTCGTTGTTTCGCCGTTGTTCATGGAAGCACAGCTCCAGTGGTACGGGACGGAGGATACACCAAAGAGGGTTCCACTTCCCGATTAAGCCAAAATCACATACTTTGTGAGGAATTTGCTCCCGGATCTTTTGACCCCTGAGTACAAATGTCATACTTGGTTGACGCTAGTGCTCCGCTCTGCTCATGGTCGTTCTCGTCACCAATAGCGCATGCGCTACAATTGACGAGATCGACTGAAGGAAAAAGTTGACAAAGAAAGGTAGATAAAGTATGTAAATATTTCAGCCACATTGCAGGAAAAGGCAAGACTGCAAATTAGCAAATTATTCAAGCGTTTTAAGACACATGATTGCTCATCTCATCTTCAAAGGCTATGGCGACCTGTGGGCTTTTCCTTATATAAACCCCTCATGGTCAAGTTTGCTGTTTCTTTGGCATATGAACTATGAGTGCTGCCAAAATACCGATTCCAGTCACTCTGTTCTTTCATTCATGATAATATAATATTAATCAAATTTATAAACTTCCTTTTCTTTCTAGCTGTTTCTATGGAGTCGAACAAGATTCTTCAGTGTGTAACTTAAAGGAATCCTGCGCGGAAAAATTATGATTCTATTTTACCATAATTCACTGGCTTGAGACCATCGTTCACGATAAGAACGAAAAGAACAAAAAATTGCATTTGTTTTGGTAAAAAAAATTCGAAAAACGAAAGGGCTGCTACGCGTTCAAAGTACCGCCGGACATCTGTCACAAATGCTGGCGACGGGAATGCTTCCACTTGGTTCTGGAGTGCCGTCACTAGAAACTCTTTCTGGCCTTTTGACTTTATTGCATTCACATCTCACACTTCTACTGCATCCTATTCTATCGATCGATTTGTCTCTACTCGCACGCTTTAACCCGATTCTTTCATTGCGTCGCCT